GAACCCTAAACGGTGTCAGTCGACACGCAATACATACGCACGAAACGGTGGAAATAATTGATTAAACGATTCCACCGACAATCAACTCTGCTGTACAGGGTGTAACAAGAATATTGGGTTGTTGCAAACGTAATTCCGTTACATAACATTGTTATAATTGAACAAATTTGTTGCAACGATGCATCCATTGAACAAAGTTGCAACGGTGCACACATTCGACAAAGTGGCCCTGTTGCACGCAATCAACAAAGATACAACGTTGTGCACCTTTAACAAAGTTGCAATGTTGCGCACATTGAACAATGTTGCAACGATGCATCCATTGAGCAAGATCGTAACGATGCATCCACTGAACAAAGTTGCCACGATGCATCCACTGGACAAAGTTGCAACGATGTACACATTCGACAAAGTTGACTCGTTGCACACAATCGACAAAGTTACAACGTTGCGCACCTTTAACAAAGTTGCAATGTTGTGCACATTGAGCAATGTTGCAACGATGCATCCACTGAGCAAAATCGTAACGATGTACACATTGAACAAAGTTGCAGTGACGCATCGGTTGAACAAAGTTGTGACGTTGTAAACGCTGAATCAAGTTGCAACAGTGCACGCATGAAACAAAATTGCAATGATGCGCGCATTCAACAAAGTTGCAACGATGAATCCACTGAACAAAATCGTAATAATTCGTACATCGAACAAAGTTGCTGCGACACACCGATCGAACATTGCATACGCTCATTCAAGCTGCAATAATACACTCATTAAACAAAGTTGCTATGACGTGCGCGTTCAACAAAGCTGCAAGGGTACCTCCACTGAATAAAGTCGTAACGATGCGCACATTGAACAAAGTTGCAGCGATGCATCGATCGAACAAAATTGCAGTAATGGACGCATTAAACGTAGTTGCAACGATTCGTTGGTTGGACAAAATTGCAACAATGCATCGATTGAACAAAACTGAAAATACGCGTCCATTGAACAAAGTTGCGACGACGCATGTATTGAACGAAGTTGCGATGAAGCATCGATTGAACGAGGTTGCAGCGATGCGTCTATGGGATAAGGCTGCATCGGTGCGCCCGTTGAACAAAGTTGCAGCAATGCATTCATTGTACAAAATTGCAACAGTGCATCCGTTGAACAAATTCGTTCCAAAATGCATCCATTGCACAATATCGCAGCAACGTTGCTTTCGTTTCACAAGATTGCAACAACGTTACATCCATCGAACAAAATCGCAGCAACGTTGCATCCATTGCACGAGATTGTAGCAACGATTCAAATTCATTCCGCAAAATCACTGCAACGTTACACGCGTTGAATAAAATCGCGGCATCGTTACATCCATTGGAGAAAATCGCGGCAACCGGTCGCGATCGTAGAACAATCGATACGATCGGAGGAGCGGTTCGGATCGCGGACGGCGGTATCGCATGGAAAGAAAGCGAAGACAGCTGCATGGAAATATTATTCAACGTCGTATCATCCGGCGGAAGTGCACGCGAGCGCAGATTTCCCGGTTACAAGAAAAAGTTTCCATTCATTGTTCCGCGGCGGGCCGGGTCGGGCCGGGCCGGGTGGCCGTTGCACGGAGGAAGGAGCTCGTCCTATTTGCGCCGGGGTTCTTTCAGCACGATGGAACAGAAGTTGCAAAGGAGCTGCGATACCTGTTGCACACGAGTGCATCGCGGCGAGGAAAGAAGAGAGAGTATGAGAGAGCAAGAGAGAGACGGAGAGAAAGAGAGAACGTGGAACGACTGAACCGGCGCGGCGGATACGGGCTTAATGTTTCGGATAATGCGCCGGGCGACGATATCGCGATCCTTTCTACTGTTTGATAATCGGCCGATCCCGATCGGCCGTAAGCGTCGCGGAGGAACTTTTCCGGGATGCGGGGTCGTTTGCACCGAACGCGGCGTCGATTTCAACGAACCGAGAACGGGTTCCGAACAATTCGTCCCGCGTCTCGCCGTCGCCCATCTTGCTACCAAACGAATCGTGTAATCGGTACACCAGCTCTGCAGACAGCCAAGAAGAGAGAGAGAGAGAGTCGTTGCGTGATCGCCGCGGACTTGGAAATTGTTAAACCGTGAAACGTTTATGCTTGGTGCAACACTGTCGATCGCTTATCCGCAATCCTTGACAGTCTCCACGCTCCACAAAATCATTTCAGAAATGTTTTCTGAATTGCAGCATGGTCGACATTGTGTCCGAGCATGTTCCAGAAGAATTTCTTCGACCTAACGAAAAAGGAACGTCGATATTCCCGAGAACGATGAGTCGGGCGATTGTACGAGCAGGATTTCAGTTTTTCGCGATACGTCGATGTCATTTGTGATTTTTTCGGGCGCTCTTCGGGACAGTTGCGATCGACAGAATCGTGCCATGTAAGAAATGTTCGCGTAACTTTCGTGATAGCGAAATTGTTAACACAATTAACAATTTTGAAATGTTAAAGATATATTTCTGAGTTGTTTATTTATTATATGAGTTAATTGCGGCAATAACACTCAAATCGAGATATATTGTTTTTAAGTAGAGATTTCAAGCTTTAATTTGTGAAAAAAAACACCATCATCCTACATTAATTTTTCGCGGAGTTATTGTCAGTCGAAGTTGGCCAATTTTCATCAAAAATTTGTCTGTGCTATAATTGTTTTCAGCAATACACTTTGGCGTAACAATTCATCTAGTCCTCATTTTATCAAAAATTTCACATGTACATCTATGCATAATGGCCACTTCTGTATCGTCAGAAAGAAATCAAGTATTGCAAACGAAATATTATTTCTAAATAATTGTAAATTCGATGAATAAAATTCAATTATAAGTACTATATTGTATAACATTACTTAAAACTGTTACAGAATCTAGATTTCCAAGATTTACGTGCTACTTATAAAAGGTTCTAATCTTCGTAACATTAAAGTACTTCTAAGCGTCCTTTCGAAATCTGATTCATTCCAAGCCCCGATATTTATTTGTACAGAATAATAAATATTTCCAGCAGCGTAGTTGCAAAACAGGTATAATTTTATCATAGTAAGATTCACAATATTTGCAATAATGTCCCATTCATGGTTCTCCCCTCCTGTCCTAACGACACAGCTATTGAAGTACAGTAATTTCTCCTCACATTTTCCCTCAGCTTGGAAACAAAAATAGAATACACGCTATTATAGTAATTTCTCCCAGAAATGTTCGAAAGACGGAATTAAAACCGGCAGATCTGAGAATACTAAGTCGCGATTCTTCGAGCATTCCGACTAGTTTTTATAGAAACTCGGGGCAGTCGGCAAAAAAAGGCAGTGGCTAGCATGCCAGTGTATATTAATACGAATACATAGTAATGCTAGAATAAAAACGATGACTTAACTTTTTTATTTCTAATTTTTTGCCACCATTCGAAGGTAATTCGGAAGCCACACAGCTCGATTCGAAGGCAATTCGGAGAACACATAACGTGATTCGGAGGCAATTCGGAAATCACATGCCACGATTCGAAGACAATTCGAAAGCCATATGACATGATTCGAAAGCAATTCGGAGACCAGATGACACAATTTGAAAACAATTTGGAGACCACATGACACGATTAGAAGGTAATTCGGAAATCACATGCCACGATTCGAAGACAATTCGAAAGCCATGACATGATTCGAATGCAATTCGGAGACCAGATGACACAATTTGAAAGCAATTTGGAGACCACATGACACGATTAGAAGGTAAATCGGAGGCCACATGCCATGATTCGAAGACAATTCGAAAGCCATATGACATGATTCGAAAGCAATTCGGAGACCAGATGACACAATTTGAAAACAATTTGGAGACCACATGACACGATTAGAAGGTAATTCGGAAATCACATGCCACGATTCGAAGACAATTCGAAAGCCATATGACATGATTCGAAAGCAATTCGGAGACCAGATGACACAATTTGAAAGCAATTTGGAGACCACATGACACGATTAGAAGGTAAATCGGAGGCCACATGCCATGATTCGAAGACAATTCGAAAGCCATATGACATGATTCGAAAGCAATTCGGAGACCAGATGACACAATTTGAAAGCAATTTGGAGACCACATGACACGATTCGAAGGCAATTCGGAGGCCACGTGCCACGATTCGACGGCCACGTACTTATTACCTGCCACGTACAGTAAATTCTTCCTAATTGACGCTCAGACTGTTCACAAAAATAGACAATTTGAGAAGGGGAGACACGATCATTCGATGCTTGCACCTCATTTTTATAATCGTTGGCAATCGGTAACTATAAAAACGAGCTGCAAGGCTCGAATAATCGTAATTTCTCTTCCGAAATTCTCCACTTTTGTGTACAATCCGAGCGTCAATTAGGGAGAATTGACTGTACCTTGTAGCTCCGCGGTTTTTCTTACTTGATTCATACCCAACAGGCCATTAGACCCTTAGCATCGACGTAGCAATAAATTATATAGGGAAATTGCTAGCGTAAGGAAATTCGCAGCAACCCGAAATTTGGCATTTCCGAGAAAAATTACTGTATTCGAGGCTCGCGGCTCGTTTATACAGTTGTTGATGATCGGCAACCATAAAAACGAGCCTTGACATGATTTTGACGTAACCTCTTCCCAAGCCGTCGTTTTTCGTTCCCCAAGCTGGGAGACAATGCGAGAGAAATTACCGTAGCCCGAAATACAATGCAAAACGAGGGGACCAGGAAAATCAATTTCGAGGCAAGGCTGTCCGAAAGGTCGTCGGAGTTCCATCTACGCAGCTTGAATGCATAACCGCGAACGCGGAAATTGCTTGGATTAAGCGGGCCGACTGTTTCCCAGTCCCGGTTAAATACCGTTTCTATTAGCCGCGGATAACAATCGTTCACCGCTATTAGGTAATTGAACCGTAAACCACCGGCCCCTGTTCACGGGCAAACGCGGCCGGGTCCCGATCGATCGTTTTCGGGGAAAAAGACGGCCGAGGGCACACGTACCTGCTGTGCGCGCATCAACTGCTGCTGCTGCTGGATGATCTTCGCGTGCTGATGTTGGTCCACTTGATTCGGCGGCACTTGCTGCGGATGGCTGCGAGGCCCTGCCGCTCCCGCAGGCTGAGGAACGCCGCCCGCCGCTGTGCGTCTCAGACTTTGTTGCGTGAAGTTGATGGTCTGCGACTGCGAGACCGAACAGTAGGTGTCGTTCTGACCACCGGGACCAGATTGGTTCGGCGTCTGCTGTTGGGTGAAGTACATGCCCTGCTGAGCCGCCACCGACACCTTCAGATCTCCCGTTAGCTGCATGTGCTGGCCTGCGGACACCTGTAACAGAGACGCATCCTTCGTTAATATTGTGCGCATAGCGAAAAGTTGAATGTACATAGCGAAAAGTTGAATGTACATAGCGAAATGCTGAATGTAAATAGCGAAAAGTTGAATGTACATAGCAAACAGTTCAATGTAAGCACGAGTTCTTTTTTCTTCCTTTCATAATTTCAATAAGCCCAAATTGGTGCTTTAACATTCTTAGTTTCTTTTCATATTTCCGCTGTTTTAACCCTTTACAGTCGGAGCCACATTTACTCAGAATCGAAAATAGTTTCTCTAATTTACAGTATTTTCATTTTCTACACATTTTATACACATGAAATTTTGTGACTCGTGCAATAGTCACATTTTCTAACAGTTTCTTTAATAAGTATATAACCAATTTGATGATATTAAAAGTATTTTGGAACATGATATGACACTTTTTAGCGATGTTCTTTAACACTGGAACTACCGTGTTTTAAACACGATAAATATTCTTTTATAACCTTGACAATATTGAATTTATTTAGACTTTATAGTATTAAAGAAGTTTGTCTAAAAATTTCTCATGGAAACATTTTCATAATGTTATAGTGTTATATATATAATGTTAATATATAATGTAATATGTATGTATGTAATATGTATATAATAATAATGATTGTAATAATTTGTAACTATTTTATTTGATAATTTTAACTGTACGGCAATTTTGTTAATTTTATAATTCTTTCGAAGTTCATCCGTTTTCTCTGTTCTTTGTTCAATACAATTTACGCACTCCGACGATTGCAGTAGGTTTTAACTATTTTATTTTAACATTTTAATCGTAATAATAATATATAATGTTAAGAACTGTAAAACAAAAAATTAAAGAACAGTCATCTTGACTGCTTTGGTAGTTCTAGTGTTAAATATAACCAAATTAGACGATATTAAAATTATTTTGAAACACGATACGCGATAATTTTTAGTGGTGCATTCTTATGTCATTCGTCGACAAAATATGGTATAATAAATGATATGAAGTATTAGCAACAATATCTCGGGAAGCAAGCATCTTTTCTATCTCGCACCAATGAGAGAACAAAGCTCCAGAACCGGCGTATTCAAGGCCGCTAAAAGAAAGGTTCCCTCCCGAGAGCACCCGGTATAAACGACTGCAAATAAAATTCATTTCATCCACAGCCGATCTATCTACCGTTCCCGCGTGTTCCCCATGACGCTAACATCCTTCCACACCCCTAACAACGCGGAGCGTGCAGCCTCTGGTCTCTCACAGCCACGATGCACCAATTGTCCAGGCTCGGCCCACGGCCGCAGTGCGGCGATATGATTCGCTCTGTTAGGTATGATCCATGGTCGAAGGTAGATCGGATCGAGCGGCGCTTGCAGCAACAACAGATATCGCCGGTGCGACGCTGCAGGCGGCCTGGAATTTCGATTGCGGCAAAAAACCGGCGGACAAGTGGCGACTATTGTCCTGTCGTCGGCCGGTATCGTTGCCTACTGATACAAAATGGCTACCGTTCTTCATATATCTCGTCGGACGGTGGGCCGGTGGATCGCCGGGGGTGGGAAAGGGCACCGCGCGCACGACCTGGACGAGAACTGTACGGCTTCGATGACTCTTGACCCTGGCAATCGAGCCGCGGTAATCTAGTACGAGCTTCCGCTTACCCTACCTGGTTCAGCAGCTACCCTTCCAGGGGCGCGACTGCCTACGCGTGTCGGGAATGTCGCGTTTAGGGTCCAAATGAGACCGAAGCGGCGACGTCGTTAAGGGCGTTTTAGAACTTTTCAATGAAACCGCGCGACTTCGACCCTTGTGCGGGCAACCAAAGTTTTTACGGTTGTTTGGCACCGGATACCCGATCTATTTTATTTTAAGATTTGAACTGTACGGCAATTTTCTGTTGATTTTATAATCCTTTCGTAGTTTATCAGTTTTCTCTGTTCTTTGTTCAATACAATTTACGCATTCTGATGGTTGTAGTAAGTTTTAATTATTTTATTTTAACATTTTAATTGTATTTATATATATATTTTATATTATTGTATTACATAATATTAATATATATTTATTATTATTATTATTATTATATATATAACATTTTGTTGATTTAATAATTGTTTCAAAGTTCGTCATTTATCTCTGTTCCTTGTTCAATACAATTTACACACTTTAATAATTCTAGTAATTTGTAACTATTTTATTTGAAAACTATTAACTAACTATTTTATTTAAGCTATTAACTATTTTATTTGAAAATTTTAACTCTTACGGCAATTTTGTTGATTTAATAATTCTTTCGAGATTCTTCATTTTCTCTGTTCCTTGATCAATACAATTTACACACTCTGATAATTGTAATAATTTTTAACTATTTTGACAATATGACAATAAATAAATGCTAAAGTAATTAAAAAGTATATATATATTATACAATTATACAGGGTGTTCCACAACTACGTTAACAGCCGGAAAAGGGTAATTTCTGAGTTCATTTAACCCTTTGCCCTACGATTTAAGTTTCAAGAACTTGTGCCATAAACAACAAGAATATCGGTTACTCGTCGAGTCCTTTCACGATTTCACGAAACGTCTAAAGTGACAATCGCGAACTTGTTATGTAATGTAAATACAGTGACTTCCGTTAATATTCGGACATTTTCAAAACGCAGTAACTTTTTTAAAACTGAACTAAACGACATGAATTTTTTTTTAGATAATAGAGCGACCAGTATACTGCCCATAACTAGAATGCTTTTTTTAAAGGTTGTTATTGCTATGAATGACAAAAGAAAGTAAAAAACTCTTGCTTTTTAATTTTTTTATCGATATTTAAAACATTTGTTTTGTAGATCTCGGTAAGTTATATGTATGTTAAAAATTTCACCGAAATCGATTCACCTTCGTATGAGCTGTAAACAATTAAAGATCGCAAAAATATCGCGGCACGCGTCAAGCTGGTTCCTGCGCCACCTGCTTTAGCTGCTAATCAAACAATTAAATGACGAAGAACAAAAAACCACAAAACACGCATCCCTTAGTCTAACACGAGCCTGATCAGTTATGTTTATATTTGGCCTGTCTGGCGCACCACGACTCTTATTTCTGGCCCGATTTTTTGACCACGTCTATCAGACATGATAACCATTTCTGGCCCGATTTTTTGGCCACGTCTCTCAGACGTGATAATCATTTCTGGCCCGATTTTTTGGCCACGCCATTTCTGGATTCAGACATGGTTGTAGGGCAAAGGGTTAAAGTAACTTTTTCCTCAGCGAAAATGCAATCTGCGGCTTTGTTTACGAGTTACGAACGAAAAACAATGACCAATGACAGGCGAGATCAGCTGATGCAAGTCGGCCGAGCCAATGGGCGGCCGAAGCTCAGTTCCACTCATTGACTCGGTCGCCTCTTATTGGTCATTGTTTTTCGTTAATAACTCGTAAGCAAAGCCGCGGATTGCATTTTCGCTAAGGAAAAAGTTTTTTCGAATGACCTCAGGAATTATTCCTTTCCGGGGAATTGTCCCTTTATGGGACATCCTGTACATCGGACAAAAATTATTCATCATTCACGAAACTACAAATCGAAGATTTTACTACACGAAGATATTAGTTCTTCCCTTGAGTAGCGTGGCCGATAATAGCGGTCAGTTTGAGTTTCAGCTTCGAGGTATGAAGGAAAAATGGCCGATGCCGAGACTATTTCGCAAGTCGCATCCCGCTAGTGACATCGGCTTGCCGAATGATTCCATCGACTTTCTCCCGGTCCTGTTCCCGGAGGTTTTTCTTCCGTCATTACAAATGCTGATTTACTAGATCTTGCCACACGCGGCTGAGATTACCTCGGCTTCGGCGAACAAGAATCGTTGCAGCAGTGCATAAACCGGTAGAAAGTGCCGCGATATGGACACCGTGGACCGCATTCCGACTGTTTTTGAATTGGAAAGCTAGTTTGCATACACGCGCGGCCGTCTATTTCCCGCTTATTAGCATGCCATTACGAGATTTTGAACAACCCGACGGCTGATCCCCGTTGGAAAACGTTTTTGCGAACACGGTCGTTATGCCTGACGGTGGAACGCGAATACCCGGATAAAATTAGACGAACGGCGCAATTATCGCATTCGCGGACATGTAGAAACTGCCGCGAAGGATGCAGATATGCAACTTTGTTAATGATCCTGTAGAAATCGCGGTAGAAGAGTAGCTGTATCCATCTAGAGCGACAGCTGCGAAATAGGTTAAAGATTGATAGCACGAACAACCTAATCTTAATCATCCGCTGTCACATTTCCTATGCGGATCACGTCTGTCGTGCTGGATCACTCAAAAACTGGCAACAGTTACCGAGGACCAAAAAGTTCGGTATTATTATTTGAACATTCTAGTACATCGTTTCTTCTATTAGCACTCGATATCTCACTTTCAAGTATATTGAATTAATTGCTCGTTTCATTCTTCTCGCGACAATGTCACTTTATCGTACAAAAACGTGCACGACAGTCAGATTAATAAGTCCAATAGATAATTGTATTAATAAATTGTAGCATTAATAAAGACTAATATCTATTAGTCCATTCGATACAATTATCTAATTGTACATACACTAAGATTATGATTAATATCTATTAGTCTTTATTAATATTATTAATACGATTATCTAATTGTACGTACACTCGCACTTGTTTTATTTTTCAAACTGAACTATTTATAAGTCCAATTGTGTTTGCGTTTAGACTCTTAAGACACTTTTTAATTGACACGATTTCACCGATCTATCACAATCGTTTAAGTTGTAAGATGAAACTAAAAAATTCGATCGTAACTACATTTAATTTCTCGTCTAATTATATTCGATAAATAGTTTGATTCTCTGAAATGAAATCGTCGAGATTTCAGTTACTGACAAAATAGATACACCTTCGAAACAGAAAAACGAGAAACAACAAGCGTTCCGAGTTGCCGATTCGACTTTCGCGATTCCAAAAATCAATTTT